TCCACTAAAAACAAATGAGATCTAATTAAACTAAAGAGCTTCTGCACAGCAAAAGAAACTAACATCAGAATGAACAGGCAACCTAGAGAATGGGAGAAAAATTTTGCAATCTATCCATCTGACAAAAGGCTAATATCAATAATCTACAAGGAACTTAAACAAATTTACAAGAAATAAAAAACTCCGTGAAAAATCGGGCAAAGGATATGAGCAGACACTTCTCGAAAGAAGATATTTATGGGCCAACAAATATATCAAAAAAAGCTCATCATCACTGGTCATTGGAGAAATGCAAATCTAAACCAAAACAAATTTACAAGAGAAAAACAAACAAACCCATCAAAAAGTGGGCAAAGGATATGAATAAAAACTTCTCAGAAGACATTTATGTGGCCACCAAACATATGAAAAAAAGTTCATCCTCACTGGTCATTAGAGAAATGCAAATCAAAACCATAATGAGATACCATCTTAGGCTGGTTAGAATGGTGATCATTAAAGTCAGGAAACAACAGATTCTGGAGAGGATATGGAGAAATAGGAACACTTTTACACTGCTGGTGGGAGTGTAAATTAGTTCAACCATTGTGGAAGACACTGTGGGGATTCCTCAATCATCTAGAACCAGAATTACCATTTGACCCAGCAATCCCCCTGCTGGGTATATACTCAAAGGATTATAAATCATTCTACTATAAAGACACATGCACACGTATGTTTATTGCAGCACTATTCACAACAGCACAGAGTTGGAACTAACCCAAATGCCCATCAATGATAGACTGGATAAAGAAAATCTGGCACATATACACCGTGGAATATTATACAGCCATAAGGAAGGATAAGTTCATGTCATTTGCGGGGACATGGATGAAGCTGGAAACCATCATTCTCAGCAAAATATCACAGGAACAGAAAATCATACACCACATGTTCTCACTCATAGTGGGGGTTGAACAACGAGAATACATGGACACACAGAGGGGAACACCACACACCAGGGCCATTGGGGGGTGAGGAGTTAAGGGAGGGATAGCATTAGGAGAAAAACCTAATGTAGATGATGGGTCGATGGGTTCTGCAAACCATCATGGCACGCATATACCTATGTATCAAACCTGCACATTCTGCTCATGTATCCCATAACTTAAAGTACAATAATTAAATGAATAAATAAATCCAGAACAGGAAAAAAACTAATAATGGTTTGTTCTATTGGGTTTGAGATAATCCTCACAGAAACACAGATGTAGGAAGTAAAAGCATGGCCCAGAGATCAATATTAATTTAATGTAGTAAGATAGTAATTCAAAGCATTCCTTTATGATCTTCCCCACCCCAGAGTCCATGATCCTTCAGTCTGTGAGGGTTTTCTCCATTAACCCAAACAGCCATCAATGCCCACTTCTTGACTTCTAAACATAACATGGCATAGGGGCTCAGATAGAAACTTGAAAAAAAAAAAAAAAAAGAATATGATCAATGATAGGGTAAATAATTTAGATACAAATATTCTGTTTCTCTCCTGGCCCTATTCCCATTTAAGGAATATTGTGTGGAATTAGTACCTCTAAGTACTCATACAGTTCTGGTAGTCTATGGCTTCCTGTACCTGTAAAACTTTCAGCTTAGAGATAGAAGGGTACAAAGTAGGAGTCATCCCCTAAGGAAAGTAACAAAGGTAGAGGTATGAGTCCTAGTGGTTGTTCCAATTCAACTATCCACAGTCCCCTAGGGGATTTAGAAAGAAACTAGGAGAATGAACATGTGGGCTCAAATTTTGCAGCAAAATTCTTTGCCAAGTCAAAGGGTTCTAATATGAATATCAAAGCCCCAACTTCACATATGGAACTAATAACTATTGGGTAGTAAGCTTAGTACCTGGGTGACAAAATAATCTGAACAACAAACCCCATTGACATGACTTTACCTATATAACAAACCTGCATATGTACCCCTAAAACTAAATGTTTAAATAAAACAAAACTTTAACACACAGAGACACACACACACCACTGGAAACTTCCAATGCCCTTGCATACAGATGTCTCTTTGTATCCTCAGAGCGTTTCCATAAAGCGGAGAGGAATAGTGGTAACAGAGAGTCAAATCATGAATGAACTCCCATTCACAATAGCTCCAAAGAGAATAAAATACCTAGGAATCCAACTTACGAGGGATGTAAAGGACCTCTTCAAGGAGAACTACAAACCACTGCTCAGTGAAATAAAAGAGGACACAAACAAATGGAAGAACATACCATGCTCATGGATAGGAAGAATCAATATCGTGAAAATGGCCATACTGCCCAAGGTAATTTAGAGATTCAATGCCATCCCCATCAAACTACCAATGACTTTCTTCACAGAATTGGAAAAAACTGCTTTAAAGTTCATATGGAACCAAAAAAGACCCCACATTGCCAAGACAATCCTAAGCCAAAAGAACAAAGCTGGAGGCATCATGCTACCTGACTTCAAACTATACTACAAGGCTACAGTAACCAAAACAGCATGGTACTGGTACCAAAACAGAGATATAGACCAGTGGAACAGAACAGAACCCTCAAAAATAGTACCACATATCTACAGCCATCTGATCTTTGACAAACCTGACAAAAACAAGAAATGGGGAAAGGGTTCCCTATTTAATAAATGGTGCTGGGAAAATTGGCTAGCCATGAGTAGAAAGCTAAAACTGAATTCTTTCCTTATTCCTTATATGAAAATTAATTCAAGATGGATTAGAGACTTAAATGTTAGACCTAAAACCATAAAAACTCTAGAAGAAAACCTAGGTAATACCATTCAGGACATAGGCATGGGCAAGGACTTCATGTCTAAAACACCAAAATCAATGGCAACAAAAGCCAAAATTGACAAATGAGATCTAAGTAAACTAAAAAGCTTCTGCACAGCAAAAGAAACTACCACCAGAGTGAACAGGCAACCTACAGGATGGGAGAAAATTTTTGAAATTTACTCATCTGACAAAGGGCTAATATCCAGAATCTACAAAGAACTCAATCAATTTTACAAGAAAAAAACAAATGTCATGTTTTTCTCTGGAATGTCTACTTCCTCTTCAGGTTTGAAGGATATTATTGCTGGATATACTCTTTTAGGGTAAAAGTGTTTTTTAATTTGATTTTTTTTCCTCCTCCAGCAGTTTAAATATATCATGCCACTCTCTTCTGGTCTGTAAGGTTGTCACTGAAAAGTCTGTTGTCAGGTGTTTTAAATCTTCCTTGTGCAGCATTTATTTCTTTGATCTTGCTACTTTTAGGATCATTTCTTTACCCTTATTTTTTGGATGTTTCATTATTAAACATTTTGAAGTAGTCTTATTTGAGTTAAATTTGCTTGGTGTCTTATGACCTTCTTGTACTTGGATATTGATATCATTCTCTAGGTTTATGAAGTTCTCTGTTATTATCCCTTGGAATAAACTTTCTACCCCTATATCTTTCTCTATGTCCCCTTTAAGGCCAATTACTCTCAGTTTTGCTCTTTTGAGCCTATTTTCTGCATCCTGTACACATGCTTTATTGTTTCTTTTTTTGGTGTGTTTTCTGACTTTGTATTTTCAAATAGCCTGTCTTCGAGTTCATTAATTCTTCTGATGATTGATTATGTTATTGAAAACCTGATGCATTCTTCAGTATGCTAATTGCATTTTCAGGTCCAGAATTTCTGTCTGATTCTTTTAAATTATTTGAATAACTTTGTTAATTTTATCTGACAGAATTCTGAATTCTTTCTTTGATTTTATCTTGAATTCATTTGAGTTTTCTTTTCCACAAGACAATTATTTTGAATTCTCTCCTGGAAAGGTCACATATCTTTGTTTCTGCAAGATTAGTTCCTGCTGGTTTATTTAGTTCATTTGGTGACGTCGTGTTTTCCTGAATTATCTTGATACTTGTGGATGTTCATCTATGTCTGGACATTGAAGAATTGGGTATTTATTGTAGTCTTCACAGTCTGGGCTTCTTTTTACTCATCTTTTTTGGGAAGGCTTTCCAGATACCCATAAGGACTTGGATATTGTGATATGAGCTGTATCTGCTTTGTAGGACATCCCAAGCCCAGTAGCACTGTGGTTCCTGCAGGGTCATAGAGTTACTGTCTTGATAGTCTTGGACAATATCTGAGAGAATTCTCTGGATTACCAGATGGAAACACTTGTTTTTTTCCTTTAATTTCTCCTAAACACTCTCTCTGCTGTGAGCCACCTGAAGTTGGACTGGAGTGACACAAGGAGTCCTGTGGCCACTAGGGCTGTGCTGGGTCAGATCTGTAGCTAGCACAGCACTGTATCTTATTTGTGGTCTGCTGTAACCACTCCCTGTCCAATGAGTATGTTCAATCAAGACCATGGGGCTCTACAATCAAAAGGTGGCAACACAAGCCAGGCCTGTTTTCCTTCAGGGTGGTGAGTTCCCCCAGTCTCTGAGCAGTCCAGAGGTGCTGCCTCAGAGTCAGTGACTAGATTCAATAATCTTAGAAGTCTACCTGGTATTCTGTTGTACTGCAGATGAGCTGGGATTCAAACCACTAGATACAGTCCTTCCCACTCTTTTCTCCCCCTCTCAAAGGCAGAGGAACCTCACTCAATGGCCACTACCACCATAGGTGCATGTAGAGTATTTTGAGGCTACAGTTAATGTTCCCTTAAGACCCAAGGGCTCTTAAGTCATGCTGCTTGACCTGGGACTTATATTCTTCAGTGGAGTGAGTTCTCCTTTGGCCCAGGGCAGGTCTAGAAATGCCATCCAAGAGCCAAGTCCCGAAATCAAGGACCCCAAGAGTCCACTTAGTGGTGCTTATTTATCTGTGGCTGTCCTGGTACCTAAGGCTTGACAAAGTCCCCTTTACTTTTTCCTCCGATTTCTCAAGCAAAAGGAGTCTTCTTCCATAGCCACTACAGGTGTGAATGTGCTGAATCTCTCCCGAGGCCAGCAAGTCTCAGACTCTCACCTAAAGCCATCAATATGTTACCTGAGTATTTCTGTTGGTTATTCAGGGCCCGAGAGCTCTTCACTTAGCAGATGATGAATACTGTTAGAATTAGGTCTTTCCCTTCAAGTCTAAGGGAATGGGAGAAGTAGAAAATTACAGTTTTAGTACACAATTAGAGTTAAATTTGTGCAAATTAAAAAATAAATTGTTAAGACTCTACAATGTTAAGTACAATCTCCATGGTAACCACTAAGGAAATATAAATAAAATATATATATATAAAAGAAAAAGAGAATAAAAACATGGCACTACATTTAAAAACTACTAAAAACAAAGGAAGGCAATAATGGAATAAATGAGAATCAGGAAAAAATAACAAAACGGCAAGTATAAGTTCTTCTCTATTAGCAATTTGTTTACATATAGATTACATTTTCTAATTAAAAGGCATAGATTAGATAAATGCAAAAATAAGCACCATCCCACTATATGCTGTTTACAAGATACTCACTTTAGATCTAAGAATTTGTTATAGGTTGATAAAAAATGATGCATTTACATTTCTCTAATGATCAGTGATGAAGAACTTTTTTTATACGTTTTTTGGCCACATATATTTCTTCTTTTGAGAAGTCTCTGTTCAAATCTTTTGCCCACTTTTTGACGGGGTTGTTTGTTTTTTCTTGTGAATTTTTTAAGTTCCTTGTAGACTCTGGATATTGGACATTTGTCAGATGGGTAGATTGCAAAAATTTTCTCCCATTCTGTAAGTTGCCTGTTTTTGTTTTTTTTGTTTGTTTGTTTCTTTTTTCTGTGCAGAAGCTCTTTAGTTTAATTAGTTCCCACTTGTCAATTTTAGCTTTCGTTGCAATTGCTTTTGGTGTTTTCATCATGAAGTCTTTGCCCATGCCTATGTCCTGAATGGTACTGCCTAGGTTTTCTTCTAGGGTTTTTATGGTTTTGGGTTTTACATTTAAGTCTTTAAACCATCGTGAGTTAATTTTTGTATAAGGCGTAAGGAAGGGGTCTATTTCAGTTTTCTGAGTATGGCTACCATCTCACACCACTCAGAATAGCAATTATTAAAAAGTCAGGAAACAGGGCCTTCCACGGGGGCTCATGCCTGTAATTCCAGCACTTTGGGAGGGCAAGGTGGGCAGATTACTTGAGGTCAGGAGTTTGAGACCAGCATGGTGAAACCTCGTCTCTGCTAAAAATACAAAAAATTACCCAGGTTTGGTGGGGCATGCCTGTATTCCCAGTTACTTGGGAGGCAGAGGCAGGAGCATTGCTTGAACCTGGGAGGCAGAGGTTGCAGTGAACCAAGATTGTGCCACTGCACTTCAGCCTGGGCAACAGAATGAGATTCCTTCTCAAAAAAAAAAAAAAAAAAAAAAAAAAATTCAGGAAACAATAGATGTTGGCAAGGCTGCGGAGAAATAGGAATGGTTTTACATTGTTGGTAGGAGTGTAAATTAGTTCTACCATTGTGGAAGACAGAGTGCCAATTCCTCAAGGATCTAGAACCAGAAATACCATTTGACCCAGCAATTCCTTTACTGGGTATATACCCAAAGTATTATAAATCACTCTGCTATAAAGACACATGCATACATATATTTATTGCATCAGTATTTACAATAGCAAAGACATGGAACCAACCGAAATGCCCATCAATGATAGACTAGAGTTTTTTAAAAAAATGTGGTACATATACACCATAGAATATTATGCAGCCCTGAAAAAGAATAAGATCATGTCCTTTGCAGGGACATGGATGAAGCTGGACGTCATCATCCTCAGCAAACTAACACAGAAACAGCAAACCAAACAATGCATGTTCTCACTCATAAGTGGGAGTTAAACAGTGAGACTACATGGACAGAGGGAGGGGAACAACAGACATGGGGGCTTGTTGTGTTCTGGGAGGCAAGGAGAGGGAGAGCATTAGGACAAATACCTAATGCATCTGGAGCTTAAAACCTAGATAGCAGGTTGATAAGAGCATCAAACACCCATGGCACATGTATACCTATGTAACAAACCTGCACATTCTGCACATATATCCTGGAATTTAAGTAAAATTAAAAATAAATAAACAAATAAATAAATATTTTAAAATAAATAAATAAAGATGAAAAAAGGTAATCCACAGAAAGTATCAAGTGAGCTGCTGTGACTATACCGATATTAGTAAAAATAGACTTTAAGTCACAAACAGTTACAAGAGAGAAAGAAGAACATTGTATATTAATAAAAGGTCAATTTACCAAAAAATGTAATAATTATGAACAAATATGCACCAAACATCAGAATTCTGAAATATGTAAAGCAAACTTTGACAAAATTGAGGGGAAAAATAATAAGCTGTACAATAATAGCTGAAGGGATGAATGTCACAATTTCAGTAATGGATATAACATCTGGTCAGAAGATCAAATAAACAATTTGAACAATGTTATAAACTAACCATAGTTAACAGATATATCCAAAAAGCTTCACCCTACAATGGCAGAATACATATTTTTTTGAAGTGAACGTAGAACATTCTCCCAGTTTAGAACTTATGTAAGGTCACAAAAGAAGGCTTAATATTTTAAAAATACATTACATCTAACCAAATATTTTTACTGATTACTATAGAGTCAATGTAGAAATCAATAACAGAGTGAAGGCTAGAAAATTCAAAATTATGTGATAATTACAAGACATACTCTTGAACAACCAATGAGTCAAAGAATAAATCACATAGAAAATGAGAAAATATTTTGAGACAAATGAAAACAGAAATACAATATATCAAAACTTATGGGATTCAGAGAAAGCAGTGTTAAGAGGGGATTTATAGCTTTAAATGCATGCGTTATAAAAGAAGAAAGTTATCAACCAACAACCTTAATGTAAACATTAAGGAAGTAGAAATAGAAGAATAAACCAAATCTAAACCTAACAGAGAGAATGAAATAATACATATCAGAACAGAGATGAATAAAAGAGAATAGAAAAGCAATAGAAACATTGTGAAATCAAAACTTGGCTGTTCAAAAGGATCAGCAAAATGAATAAGGCTTTAGGTATATTGACTAAGAAAAAAAAAGATAAAATATAAAAAGAAGTAAAATCAGAAATTAAAATGGTGACATTGCTACCAATTTTACAGAAATAAAATGGACTATAAGAGAGTACTACGAACAATTATAAGTCAAAAAGGTGGAAAACCTAGGTAAAAAGTCCAAATTTCTAGAAGCACACAACCCACCAAGAATAAACTATGAAGAAATAGATAATCTGAATAGGCCTACAACTATCACAGAGATTGAATCCATAATCAAACACCTCACAACAAAACAAAGCCCTGGACCATATAGCTTCACTGGTAAGTATTACCAAACATTTAAAGAAAAATCAACATGGATTTTCAAGGAACACTTCCAAAAAGTAGAAGAGGAGGGAATATTCCCTAACTCATTATATGAGGCCAGCATTAACTTGATACCAAAGCCAGACAAAGTAATTATAAGACTGAAAACTACTGAGAAATAATCTTTGTGAATATAGGTGTAAAGTTCTGCAACAAAATATTAGCAAAACATACTCAGAAACATATTAAAAAGGTTATACACCATAAAGAAATAGGATTTATTCTGGGACTGCAAAAGCAGTTCAACACACAAAATTCAATTTTTTAACCAAAATGATCTACAGGTGCAATTGAATCCCTAAAAAAGCCCCAATGGCATTTTCTGCAGAAATAGAAAAAATCTATGCTAAAATTTAATGCAATCTGAAGAGAATCAAACAGTCACAACAATCTTGACAAAGAAAAACCAATCTGGAAGTCTCACACTTTCTGATTTTTACACACACACACACACACACACACACACACACACACATATATATATATATATCAAAACCACAATACTCAAAACAACATGTTACTGGGATGAAGACAGGCAAATAGACCAATAGGCTATATTAGAAACCTCAGGTATAAGCTCTCATGTATATAATCAAATAATTTTAGACAAGGGTGGCAAGAACACTCAGTGGGGAAAGGACAGCTCTTCAACAAATGGCTTTAGAAAAACTGGACATCTACACACAAGAGTGAAGTTTGATCCTGATTTTATATAATATTAATATGTAAAAACCCTAAATTGATTAAAGACCAAAACATAAAATCCAAAACAATAAAACTCTTGGAAGAAAGCCTAGGAGAGAAGCTTTATGATGTTAGATCTGGCAATGATTTCTTACCATGACATGGAAACTATAGACAATAAAAACAAAGATGGTCAAATGAGACTACATCAAAACCAAAAATTCCTCTGCATTGAAGGACACATTTAACAAAGTGAAAAGGCAAACTATAGAATGAAAAATATTTTAAAATCATATGTCTGATAAGGGATTAGTATACAGAATATAACAAGAATTTCTACAATTCAGCACCACCACAAAACTTGCTCTAAAAATGGGTATACGACTTGAATAGGTGATATACAAATTGCCAAAAAGCATATGAAAAGATATTCAACATCACTAATCATCAGATAAATGCAAATCCAAACCACAGCAAGATATCACCTCACATCCCTTAGAATTACTACTATCAATGAAACAGAAATAGCAAGGGATGGTGAAAATGCAAACAACTTTACTGTTGGTGAGACTGTAAAGTAGTGCAACTGCTACGAAAAGGAACATGGAAATTTCTCAAAAAAATTTTTGTAAAACATTACCCTAATATTCAAGAATCCTCTTTTTCAGTATATATCCATTTTGAGTACATATTGAATACATATGAAAGAGGTTATTTTCACAGCCATATTTATAGCAGCTTTATTTACAATACTCAAGAGGTAGAAGCTACCCGAATGTCCATTGATGGATGAATGGATAAACAAAATTTGGCATAACCATACAATTCAGCCTTTTAATGGAAGGAAATCCTGTTACATGCTATGATATAGATGAATCTTGAGGAATTATGCTAATAAAAATAAACCAACTACAAAAATTAAATAAATAAATAAGGTATAAATCCACTTACATGAGGTATCTAAAGTAATATAAGTCATGAAAATGGAAAGTTGATGGTGGTTAACAGGGACTAGGGGAAGAGAGAAATAGAGAGCTGTTGTTCAATGGATATAGAATTTTAGTTCTACAAAATGAAAATATTCTGGAGATTTGTTGCTCAACAATGTGAATATACT